TAACCATAGCTGTGTTCCGTCCTGTCGCCACCTTTGTGCCACTGTATGACTTTAACAGAAGATATTAGCCTGTGACTAATATATAAACATAAATCAGTTGGAAAATAATGTAATTATTGAGTATTGATAAAATCACAAGGACTCTAAAAGCATAAACTCACTAGCACTTAAAGCTATTTCTAGAAGTATATTCATAACCCCAAGTGCCTGTATTATTAAGTTTAAAGGCTTTAAGTGAAATATTCAATGTAGGAAGTCAGAGCATATAAAAAACAACCAAAAGAAAATAAGGAAGGGAGTCATAATAAAAAGTCAGCTGGGCCAAGGAGGCCCTGTCTCAAAAAAATAGCTTGTGTCAATACTAAATATGAAATATTAAAATCAACACTATGAACTAAAAGCTATGTCAAAATGCCGGTTACTAATGCTATAACATAACAGTATTCTCGGCAGTCTAGGCAATGCAATGAGAGGAGGAGGGACAAATAGGTGTTGGGATCAGCTGCATTGTGATTAGACCTAGGAAGCTCAACAAAGAGGGAAATTATTCAATGAACTACTGAAAATAAACAAAACTTTAGCAGAAAGTCTAAATATAGGAACAGAAAGAAAATGAAGTGTATCTCTAATTTTATAGGTAAAACAAAAAAGGAAATGTGCAGAATTTTTAAAAGAAAACATTCTTGAAGGACATATAAGAATTGAATAAATTATTTTAAATGAAAACATGCAATTTTATAAATATGTCAGTTCTCCCTATAGTTTTATATAAATGTCATCTAGAAAACTTCGGAATGTTAATGAACTCCTTGACAAAACAGTTCAAGATCATTTCATACACATATGGAAATACCTTAGATAAAAGTTCTGATAAGGCCCAGTGCAGCGAGGCATGCCGTTAAACCCAACACTTCGGAGGCAGAGGCAGGCAGATCTCTGTGAGGTGAGATCCAGACCAGCCTAGTCAAGTTCCAGATCAGTTGGGGCTATAGGGAGATCTTGTCTCAAAATAAACAAGCAAAAATTATAATAGATAAACAACAAAGTTATAATGGTTAACGCAGCAAAGTACTAATAAAAGCTGGTATAGAAAGATCGATGGAATACAAACAAACTCTGAAAAAAGGTTCAGACTGGATAATCAGAGTACAATGTAAAATGCTATTCCAAGCCAGGAAGAATCAGGTTAAATCATCGGTACAATATACTTGTTTAACTGCTTGGGAGGAAAGAAAAACTATACCTCTAGTTGACATTATGCATCAAAATATATTCAAAAGGAGAAAGGGGTTAAATGTTTCAATACAGAGCCAACTAACTGGAAGAAAATCTGACAAAACATCATCTAACCTCGAGAGCTGCAGAGAAGCCTTGCCAGCACAAACTGTCAAAGGAGGGCAGCGTGGAAAAGGGGTGGACAGACAAGCAGCCAGGCCTCCAAACGGACATGACAAAACACGGCTCAAGCGGCAGAAGGCAGCACTAAAATATAGATCAGGCCTTCTTGCAGACCAGCAAGAATTAGACGAGTCCTTCAGAGGGAAAATGAGCAACTTGAATGTCTAATAAAAGGCTCGACCAGTTTATGAAAACTCCACTTTATGTCATGTGTTTGCCAATAACAATGTTTTTGAAGATTATTGGATCATGTGAAAATCCCTACTATGTCATTAAGAAGGAGAAGTAGATTATAAAAGAATCTCAAGGGGATGATATTAACTCAATATCAGAAGTTTAGCATATATATGAATGTGCGGCAGCAAGACAGGTAGAATCAAAGAAAAGTTTTGGTTTATTTCATGAGTCTTCGTCTGTTTCTTACAAATATGTTTGTATGAAGTTTGGAATCGGAGGAAAACAGGCCTACTGAGATACAGTGCTTGAGACAGTAAATGCACATATTCCTCAAGGATACACTGCAGATCACCTTCAAATCTCAGAGCAATTATGCTAAACGTAGGAGGGCAGTGGTTCACCTAATCTTGACGGATACAAATGCACATTGAGCTTCAGCAATGGTTAAATCAAACTATCTGAATACCCTTTTCGCTAAAGTTTTTAATGCTCAAATTAATGTATCACTGATATATTTTTGATATATGATGTTTATGGTGACAAAAATGTTAAAATATAAGGAGAGATAAAATACAGAATAAGTTGAATAGGAAATTCACCAAGAACATCATTTATATACATAAAATTTACAATATAATTCTTTAAGAGTCAACGGCTACATAACAAGCAACAATGCCAGACAGGGAATACCTTCCTTCTAGTTGTTGGCCAGGGTGGCTCAAGAGACTCCAGACAGTAACCCAGCATAGAACTGAGAAAATGAACAGCAGACCCCAATCATCTAAAGGAATGTTGGCAACTGATTGCTGCTAGATGAGGAACAGCTGATCTTCCTAAAACAAGGAGCTCTAGATAGGCTGACTAGATTCAGTGAATGGACAAGCACTGGGGAATGGCTGGGGGTGCCGCCAACACAGTGGACAGTTACAGGGATGACAGAGTATATGGGCTCCAGTCGGGGGGGGGTGGCTATGGGAGGGTGCCATTTGGGATGTGGGTATATAGATGAATAAGATTGTTTGGGATGTTCTGTATGATGTACACACACAAAATCAACAAATTTTTAAAAATGAGTTATATTTGAGGAAGAAGCATAAAAAATTAGACTAGCACATAAATAAAAGTTCACATAGCATGTAAAAAAAAATCTAGAGGAAAATGCCAAAGGATTTGAAAAGTTGAATTCTGCATGTGTTTCACTTTTGAAATTTATGCATCTTGAGACTCTGAAACTTCTGCTCTTTTTTGGACTTTAAACTCATAATTGTAATTAGATATAAGAAAGATGAAATGTATGGGGGAACACACCCTGGAGTATATAAAAAGTCCATGTTGAGTCATAGGATAATAAATGTTAGCTCCCACACTGCTGAGAGAAAGCAAGACCCCCATCACTCATGTTGGCAAAAGCTTGCCTTCGCATAATCCATTTCTGTTCTCACTGTTATAAAACCAATGCCTTTTGGAAAGAGAAGAAGACACAGAGTGACGTGCGAAGTCGCACAGCACTGTTATTGCAGCTGGATGGAGAATGTGTCACTAATGACTTCTTCCACTTCTCGGTTCTGTAGCGCTCCCCTGTTTTCCAAAATAGCAAATGGCCTTTATGAGTACTAAGCAGACGCAGTTAAATTGAAAATAATATCCAATTTCCACCCGATTTTGACACCATATTAGTCAATGGAATGAGTTAATAATTACTCATAGGAAAAGAATGATTTTTCTCTGCATTTGAGTTGACTGTAACAGAATACTACCAATTTTCTATAGTAAATTTTCCATGGTGACTGTTTCATAAGATACTTACTACCACAATGTCATCTTAACTGAGCTCAACAACCTCGTGCTGTTTGATAAGTCCAAAGAACGAATATGAATAAGTTCATAAAGTGTTGGTGCACTTTAGGAGTATGGACGGCTGTCAGAGGTGACTGGCGCATTAAGGAATGGTCAAGGCTTCGTCTCACAACATATAAGTGCAGGAATAGTATACTGCATCTCCATAAGTGAGTCCACAAGACAGAGTTTGATTAGGCAAGAAGTGAGGCTTTTTGACTAATATGGCAATGTAATGCTGAAATATACTGTCTTGTCCTGCTACTTAATATATTTAAAAAGGATGACGTATGGGCTGGGGGTGCAGCTCAGTGGTAGCTACAGGGCTTATCTAGCATATTGCCTAGTATTTGTCCAGTTCAATTCCAAGGTCCACAAAAAGAAAGAAAACAAGAGAGAGAAGATGAAAGAAAGAAAGAAAGAAAGAAAGAAAGAAAGAAAGAAAGAAAGAAAGAAAGAAAGAAAGAAAGATAGGGGGACGGAGGGAGGGAGGGAGGGAGGGAAGGATGGACGGAGGGAGGGAGGCAAGGAACTAAAGTCTGCCAGGAACCATAGGGTAGCCACCTCAGGCTAAAGTAGCGCCTTCAGGTAAGAGAAGCACTGACCACCAACTTGACCACAACCTCAAGATTCCTCAGAGGCACCCAGCTGAGCTCCTCCCAGAGGGCTGAAATTCCAAGAGGGGAAATGCTGGCCATTTTAAACTGCCAGGAATTGAGGTTAATTTGTTATACTGCAGAGAAATAATGAAGGAAGGAAGGAAGGAAGGAAGGAAGGAAGGAGAGAGAAAGAAAGAGAAAGAAAGAACGAACGAAAGGTTAACTAAATTAACAAAGACGTCTCCGAGTCCAAGGTCATGGAATGCTAAATCCCAGAAATCTCTTCATTACTATCGATTTGTAATCAATGGGCATATTAATAACCACTAACACTTGCACCCATGAGTACTCTGCTCAGTGCCAAGCACTGCAGTCCTAAGAGCTTTGCACGTATGAATTCTCCTGAGGAGCTTATCAAGCCTTATTAGCTTATTAACTCTTACCAGCTCCAGAGAGATCGGGACTATGAAATGCAGAAACATTCAGTGGTTTGCCCAAGGTGCCCCATGGAGGAAGTGGCAGAGGCAGGATGGGAACCAAGGTAAACATGCCTCAGAATCCACCCACTGGTCATGACACACAGTACATTCCGTAAGCTTTTACTAGGGTTCTATAGATGACTCTTTCCATTGGAAGAAATTCAAATAAATAATTTTGATCCATGAATTAAGCTGTTATGGTTTTGGGAAGAAGAACTGAGCGTTTCTTTAATAGCTCTTCATCTTTTGACACAATTTTTTCCCATAATTTTTGTCAAGTAGATTCATGAGGCAGTTTAAACTGTAACATGGATGTTTGCATGATGATACCGGGGAGAATGAATTCTCGTACTGTGAACCTTACAGAGAACAGTTCAGGGCTGCGTTGTCCTCTTCCAGAGATAATCACATTAGAGGTAAGAGCCCATTGTCATAGTGCAAAGATCAGCGCTAGGTAACCCTGTAAAATAGCATCTGTGCATTTATAGATTTGATACTCCTTCTATTTTACCTTTGATTTCTCCAAGAAGTTCACTGGTATTTAGTCTTTCCATTTTCTCCTTCCAATCTTTTGAAAGTAGTTTTTCCATGCAGGAGGAATCTATTAAAATAAAAAAGTAAATATTAAAGATGCATATTACGAAGTCAGAAGGCTAGCTGATTGAGAAATTAACTCACTGGAAAACATACAAAAGCCATTTCTGTTGCTGTTGTTTTAATTCTGCAATACAGACAAATACCATTATCTATCTATCATAAAATACCACAACTGAGCCAATCTTTTCCCAGAAGATTTAAACCATTGCCCCAGGAGGAGGTGCTCAACAATCATGCTCAGCATCATAATTCCTGCAATATTTATCAGCATTTATCATTTATCAGACTGATAAGACAGGAAAGAGCTCTTTCTGTGGTTCTGCATTTAGGTGACTTTCTTTTTAAATCTGGGCATTTTTTTTTAAGTCCAAGCAAAATTTGGACTTTTGAAGGAGCACATCTTTGAGGGAGAAGAGACCAATCAACCTGTAACCACTTAGCCCTTAAAAAAATAAATCCAACTTTTGCGAAGTAAAAAATAAACAAATAAATAAAGCCAAGGTGTTTTCTGTTCACTCATAATGAAAACTGCTAAAACTTCTATACCAAAAGTGATATATGTTTTTATTTAAAAAAAAAACCACCTGTTCAAATATTATTTACCCTACTACATTTCTAAAGAATGTTCTAGATTATAGGGAGTAATTACATCCATTTTTTATAAAGATTCTTAAGGGTGTAGAAATCCAAGCATTAGAATGTCCTAATAATTACCTATTTTTTTTCTCTATGCATTATTACTTTCTCTGGATTTGCAAGCAGGCCTCGTGCTTACAAGTGTTTCCTATCAGCTTTCTAAGACTCAACCCTTAACAAATAGAGCACGTTTCCAAACGGGAATGCAGATTTAAATACTCCCATTAAGCTTTAACATTCCAAGTGTCAAAATCCCGATAACTTTCTTTTAAAATTATATTTAAAACGGTTTCTCCGGTTCCAAATGCTTTTGCTCCCCCATATCAGCACCTATCTCTTGAACGTTTTCCCTTTCATTTTTTCTTCTGGCTTCCAAATCCACCTTGAACTTTTCAGAATCACAGTTAGGTCAAGATGACTCTGCAGGGTTTGAGAAGCTAGACAGGCTTGGGAAAAGGCAGCGATACCTTGCCTAAGAAAGAAGTCCATCGCATGGGATTAGAAAGTACTGCTGAAAGTAAGGACCATTTGCTTGTGACATGATCAATCAGCCAAGGGATGATTGGAGTCTGTATCTGAGCATCATGGAAAGGCTATTGAGGGCTCAAGTCCTTTCTACATAGAAATCCTGTTAAGTGAAAGCTCTGTGCGTCTTCCGGGACTTCCTTCCTCCTCTAAGTCCTGTCTTCCTTCTCTCCTCCTGAGGCTTTCAGAAGTGATCCTCTGCGCTCCCAAACTAGATTCCGAGTGAGCTTCCAATAGGGCTTCCTTGCACATGAATGTTTGAGCTGTATTTAATTGACAAAATGTCTCCTACTGTTTCTATTTCAAATTCAGAAATGAGGTAAGTAGTTTGCTCAATACTTATATCGTTCTAATAAGGAGCAAATCTTCAAAGATGTGTCTGCCAGGGATCTTTTTTTTCCTCAGAAGAGTTTGGAATTTCTGAGAGAGATGGCACTAATATTAGATAGGAAAAACCAATAATTTAGAGAAGAAAAATCAATAAAAGGCCTAGGATTTTATATTCTACTAGAGTTTGTTACTTTTTTACCCATTCAGATATGTTATACCATTGCACTAAACTGACATCCACTTACAGATACAGAAGTGCAAAATGTTTGGTTAAGATCCAAGTGGAGGGAATGGTGGCACACGCCTTTAATCCCAGCACTAGGGAGGCAGAGGCAGGCAGATCTCTGTGAGTTCAAGGCCAGCCTGGTCTACATAGTGAGTTCCAGGACAGCTGGGGCTACAGGGAGACCCTGTCTCAAAAAGACACACACACAAAAAAATCCAAGTGGAGACTGTGCATTAGTTAGACAAAAGCCCAATACATTAAGGATAGTCACAAATTCAGAACAAGACCATACATGCATACTGGATGTAAAGCATGTCTCTAATGTCTCAAGGATCCAGAGAAAAGACGGCTGAAACCGCATGGGAGAAAAGCAGAGCTACATGGACAACAGGAAAACATGCTCCAAACATCACCAAAGTAGTTTCACGTGAGTTGTGTATTAGTACATCCCAAAGCATTTTACATTCTAGTAGAAAGTTAATGCTTGCTGTAACGCTGAGTCGGTCCAGATAACACCAGCTCCTACTTCAGTAGAAGCTGAAGGGAAAAAATAAAACTGGCTTTGCATGTCTACATTTATAGCCATGAAGATTTTAATAGCAACCACTGATGATGTTGATCTAAGGGCAGTAAGAGTCACTATGTACAGCCTTATCATGATTTCATCTTAACTCTAGAAGACTTGAAACTAAGAACATCTCTCAACCACTCATCTGACTGCTGAACCTCTCAGGGCACGTACCACATAGCGCTGTAGAGTTAGGCAGGTGAGAAGAAGGGTCAAAGGCTACAGGCTGTTCCCAGCTCCTGTGCAAGCAGAATGTTCCTGATCAGAGTGAGAAGCCATAGCAAAGTGCGAAGCTACAAATGAAAAGTCATATTTTCAAATGTCCCAGTCCATGGAGCAGAGTAGCTCACACTCAGTATCCATGTAAGGATGCAGATTAAAAGCAAGGCTCCCTCCCTGCTCTGCCACATCCTTCAGCTCCATCAACAGAATGCTAGCTTTGCAGAGGCAGCTGATCAGAGCAGACTTTGTCCTGTTGTGATCTAGCACATCTGCAGGAACCAGAGAAGGAAAAATAAAGGAGGCCAGTTTTACACTATGTGCATGGAGAAAATAAGACAGAAGAGAGTGACTGTAATACAATGCCACAGTGACTCCAAATGGGGGAAAAGCACCTAAGTGCCTCACAGATAACTGGATTGTCACATAACAAATGTCATATTTGATTAATTTAATAATATTCTTCCCACACAAGGTAACAGTAACCACAAATGTTATTAGCTAAATTTGACTGTTCAGAGTTAAATGACTCAGCTGTCTTCAGCTATGGAACATTATTTTTCAAAGTAGAGATACAGGATCACAATATTACACATAATATATCACCATACTATAAGTGTGTTAGAAATACACATAACTTACAATGCTTCTGTTTTGATGCGGCATGCCATAAGATGCCAAAATTTATCCCTCTTACTTTGAAACAGTTGATTTTTACTAATCAATACCTATTCAATAAATGCAAGGCTTGGTTTTATTTTACCTAATTTTTAAAATAGTGGGGATTAAAACAGAACAATCCAAAATCTAAAGCTACACTATAACTATCTTCCGTATGCTAGTAAAAGACGTGCAGCCCATTAGGCCATGCACTGCTTCTCTGAGGCATAGTTTCTGATAGGCTGACTTTTGGGGGAGGGGGGGAGGGGTTGATTTTGTTTGTCAAATTTAAGTGTTTACCTTTCAAGCAACTTTGTCTAACTAAAAATAAATATACAATTCAGGACTCATTTTATTTTTAAAACTATCCTGCAAACAGAGTACAAAGCACAAGTTTGCTTCTTGCTACCAAGATTTTAGGCTAAATGAGATACTATCATGGTACACTGATGATTTTACCTGTTAATAATCTTTTTTTTTTTTTTTTTTGGCCTTTTTGGCCTTTTTGAGACAGGGTCTCCCTGTAGCTCCAGCTGTCCTGGAACTCACTCTGTAGACCAGGCTGGCCTCAAACTCACAGAGGATCCGCCTGTCTCTTCCTCCCGAGTGCTGGGACTAAAGGCGTGCGCCACCATGCCCGGCTACTATTTTACCTGCTAACAATCATTTTCATGGTATAAGAGAGGGGACAAAGGGAGATTATTCCCTAAACTGTAAAGCAGTATTTAGGAGTAGCTTTAAATCACTTCTAGTTTTAAAACAATTCAGAAATACTAACTACTGTTCTGCACACGATAAGGGTTTATCATATGTGTCAAACAGAGTAAATAAATCCTAATTAAAATTAAAGTTCAAGGAAGAGGAAAGAATAATGGAAATTTTTATTCTGCCTTAAAACAGTTCATCTGTAAGTAAACATTTATTATTCCTTTTATTTCAATGTGATCTCTAAAGTCAGAAGTGCCAAAATATTATAAACATGACACAGAAAGTATCTTTCAAGTATTTTAGTGAAGAAGCAAAGAATACAGTCCCTGTATGCACATTTCCTTTTGCTTTATTGACTCTTAAGAAAATAGAAGAGCCATCGCCTTTATTTTTACCATAGGATTCATAAATTCCAATGTGATAAATTCAGGAGCAGTGATAACTTATCAAAAGTGCCCATAACTTTAGTTCCCACTGAAACCTGACAATACATATTTATACTCCAACATCCCCCAACATTTATCATTAGAGACTATAGAAGTGTGCTTGCCAGTTACTGTACATCATGCACCATGGCAAGAGCTCCACAGCACAGTGGGGTAAAGCTGGAGCTTGGAGAGCTTGAAGAGCTCTCTTAAATTTTAATTAAAACCCTCCAAGCTCAGTAAAAATAATTAGATACGAAAATGTGCCAGTTTTATTCTGAAGTCACTATAACATACAAAGCAATGTTCTGTGTAGACTGCCCTACACACACACACTACACACACACACACACACACACACACACACACCACACCACACACAATAGAACAACTGATTTTCCAAATAAGAACAAGGG